GCAGGGAGTCTGCTTCTCCCTCTGACCCTCCTCCCTCTCATGCTCTCTGTCTCTCATTCTCTCTCTCGCAAATAAAAAAAAAAAAAAAAAAAAAAAGTACTAAATTGGGTGCCTGGGTGGCTCAGTTGGTTGAGCGACTGCCTTCGGCTCAGGTCATGATCCCGGAGTCCAGGGATCGAGTCCCGCATTGGGCTCGTTGCTCAGCAGGCAGTCTGCTCCTCCCTCTGACCCTACCCACTCTTGTGCTCTCTCTCTCTAATAAAAAAACAAAAATTTAAAAAAAAAAAGTACTAAAATTTTTTTGAAAACTGATAAAGGGAAAAGAGTCAAGCTCAGTCTACTTTTCCTATACATACTATATTTCAGGATAATCAAGTAGTTAATAAGGAAAAGTTCTTTATAGAAGAATCACAAATAGTGAATAGAAAATCATTTTACAACCCTTAGTGAACTAATGGTTATCAGCAATAATTATCAACAGCTACGATTATTATGTAAAAATTAATGAACTGTATAATGGATATCCAACTCATTGATCAATCTTAGGTCACTAAAAGATAACAGAAAGTTCTTTTTGAAATAAAGGAACAGGAACCATATAGCACCAACCAAAAAGTAAAATTCTTACTAAAAAAAATAACCTGAATCTAATCCAGACTCTGGACCTAACTAACAATTTACAGAAAATATGGGCATAGAGGTACATTTCAAACAATGTCACAAAAATAAAATTCAGCCAACACTAGAATGTAGGAGTTCTATAGTTTCTTTAATAAACAGTTTATATGGGAGAAAAATAATGAGGGGAAACTGTTATAAATTAAAGGAGGCTTAAGAGATATAACAACCGCATATAATGTATGGGGCTTTGTTTGAATTCTGATTCAAAAAAAGATCAACAATTTTAGAAAAACAGGTAAAAATGAATAAGGACTGGGTGTTAGAGGATACTGGGTATGGAAACAGTCTTGTTTGTGTGTGGTTTTTTTTTAAGAAATACAAACAAGTTTATACAGAAATTTGATCCAATGCCTGAGATTTGATTAAATACTAAAGCCAAAAGCTTTTTTTATTTTTTATTTTTTTTAAAGATTTTATTTATTTGACAGAGAGAGCCAGAGAGCACAAGTGGAGGCAATGGCAGAGCGAGAGGGAGAAGCAGGCTCCCCACTGAGCAGGGAGCCTGACACGGGGCTCAATCCCAGGACCCTGCCATCATGACCCGAGCCAAAGGCAGACACTTAACCATCTGAGCCACCCAGGCGACCCCAAAAGTTTTTTTTAAATGAGGAAAAGGAGTGGGTCGCCTGAGTGGCTCAGCCAGTTAAGCATCCAACTCTTGACTTCGGCTCAGTTCATGATCTTGAGGTTGTGGGATCAAGACGCAGGTTAGGCCCCATGCTCAGCAGGGAGTCTGCTTGAGATTCTCTCCCTCTCCCTCTAACCCCCTAAAATAAATAAATCTTTAAAAAAACAAAAAAATAAAAGTAGTAAAGGAGCCAAGGACTAGCAACTACTGGGAACTGTTAAAAGCTGGGTAATGGGGGATAGGTTCATCATACTCTACTCTCTCTTTTGTATACATTTCAAATTTTCAATAATGGAGTTTTTAAAATAAAAATATTATTGGGGCTCCTGGCTGGGCATCTGCCTCATAGTTTTGGCTCAGGTTGTGATCTAAGAGTCATGAGATCGAGCCCCATGTCAGGCTCCACGCTCAGTGTGGATCTGCTTGAGATTCTCTCTCCCTCTCCCTCTGCCCCTCCTACTCATGCACTTTCTCTCTCTCTTTCTCTCTAAAATAAATAAATCTCTTAAAAAATTACTATCGCTTCTCGGTCTTTTGGCTAAGATCAAGTGTAAAAAATTATCAACTAAAAAGCTGGATATAAAACAAGATTTATGGTTTATAAAATATTTTTATTATGCAAATATTTTTTAAATGACTGGATCATAAGACACCTAAATATTACACGGAGTTATGTCTACGAATTGAGAATATGGATTATATTTTATTATTCGTATGTTCTATAATGAAAATGTATTTCTATAAATCAGGAAAAAACTAGTATTTTTTAATGCTACAAAGTGCTACTAATATCTTTTTAAAGAATTGCTCCTTACTGGGAGATAGTAAGAGTCTAGGGCAAAGAGCACAGGTTTTGAAGAAAGAAATTGGTTTAAATCCTGGATCTACTATGATTAATTATGAAAGCATGATAATTAAGTTACTTAACCCTGTAATTTCCTCAACTATAAAATTAGTTTTAATAATACCCTACACCGAGCTGGACTGCAGTGAAAATTTAAAGTAACATTTATGCATATTACCTCATTTAATATTCACAACATCCCTGTGCCTTAGAAGCTATTAATATCGCTATTTTAAGGATGAAACCAATGCACAAAAAGACTGAGCAACTGCCTAATGCCACATAATAAATGGCAGGGCTAGGATTCAAATCCAGACAGTGTGAATCCACAGCCCATACTCTTTATCTAATCCTATACTGCCCCTCATAAATATTGCTTGCCATTATTTTCCTCATATTTATACCCCCAAGTTCAACCAATAATACCAATCACCCATTTCTACAGACAGATGCAAAAGAAGAAAAGGAAGGGTTACCCGAATTCCCCACTGTACCATTGTTCACCAGGGAATTTGGAGCCACAGTACGAGGCCAGTGTCCATCATGAGAGGAGTTAGGGATCGCCACAGGTCTGGCAGCAGGCTGTGCAAAGATGATGCTGGGATCGTTCAGGCCAATATTGCTGGGGGCACTGCCTGGTGCAGAGTGGATCACTGGACCATGGATAGGCCAGGATGGCGCAGGGATCTGGAGAGGGTGCATTGGCAACAATCCCATATTGTGCATGGGAGAATACTGAGCTGGTGGTGACTGCGGAAAGTTATACACAGGCATCTGGACCTGATGGGGGGGCTGGGCTCCCTGCTGAGGTGGGCCAAGCTTGGGTTGGGATCCTGGCTGGGATGGAGACTGAGTAATGGCAGCTGATTGGGAAGAGTTCTGTGGAAACGGCTGGGGCTGAGGAGAATAAGATGGTGAATCAGACTGCAAAGAGAAAAAGATAACATTTTAAAATTAATTTAAAAACATGTTAATGTTATAAAAGCAGAGATTATCTAAATACAAAATTATGGAGTTATTTTATTAGGACATTATAAACACAACTCTATGAAGTGAGTAAGAGCCTCATTTTACATGAAAATAGAATTTTCTCTGAGACCCTCAAACCCTCTGACATATACATTACCCTATAAACCTTTTTACTGTCCAAAGAAGAAAGAGCCCAGACGTCATTCCCATCATGCAGAACTCATATTCCAACTGTAACTAGAAACTTGTATCTAAATATCTCACAGCCACTTTGATTCAGTCCCTCAACAAGTAACTGAGTGTCAGTTATGTCTGGGCATTGTTCTAGGTATTAAAAATACAATACTAACATGTATGCCCTCATGGAACTTAAAGTTTATGGGGGAAAGGAGAAAGAGCAGATGAAGAAATTACATAAGCAATTACAATCAAATACAACAATTACTATGATAAAGAATGTATGATGTAGTGTTATAAGGAAATCCCAGACAGAGCAGGAATACCTCAATGTACTTTGGGAGGAAAAAAAGATAAGATGAATGAAAGTGGAAATCAAGAACAGCATCTCAGAGAAGTGACCTTTAAGTTGAGACACAAGGGTAAATAGCAATCAGTCTGATAAAAGAGGGAAGGGATAAGGGAAGGGGAGGAGTATTTCATGCAAAGGGAACAACATGACTGAAGGTCTATAGGCTCATGAACACCTGACTTGTTTAAGTAACTGGATTCTGAAAGCAGTTTATTATTACTGGAGTACAAGGGCAGGGGAATGGCAGATTTGAGGTTGAAGAACCAAAGAGAGACAAGATAATGAAGGGTCCCATAGACCTTATAGTTAAGACTTTATCCTGAGGGCACTGAGAAACCACTGAAGGGTTTCAAACTGGTCAGGAACATGATCAATCTGTATTTTAGAAAAATTATTATGGCTTAATGGGAATGAAATAGAGAACACGGGGGTGGGGAGGGCGGGGGCAAAAAGACTAATGAGGGTGATTAAAAGGCTAGCCCTGATATGATGGTAACCTAGGCTAGGGAAATACAATATAGGGACAGAGAAGCAAATAGCTGTGAGCTATTTTTTACATGTAGAAATAACAGGAGTTGGTGACTGATTTAGATGTGGGGGTTGAGGGAAAGGGAGTAGTTCTGGAAACCAGAGAGTAGGATCATTCAATGAGATGGAGAACACAGGAGCAAGAAGAAGCAAGTCTAGGAATTTGGAGAGAAGTATGTTAAATTCTAGACATGTTGAGGTTAAAGTGCTTTGTGAGACATCAGAACAACAATGTCCATTAGACAGACTCTGACCCAAATCTCAGGTAAGAGAAAATTGAGTGCTAAAACAAAGGGTAAAAGTTAGAAGCAGCAGAGGAAAATGGTTAGAGCATAGGCTTTGGAGACAGGGCCTGAGGGTTCAAGTTCTAGTTCCAAGTATGTGCTGGGCTCAGGTAAGAAACTTAAATCTCAGTTTCTTCACCTGTAATGTATAAATAATAAGCAGAATCTATCTCATAGGTTTTTGTGTAGATTAACTAGGCAATACATGTGGAAAATATAAATACCAAATTCAGGATAGTAGATACATTTTAGTAGCTAGGAAGGGATGGTAGGAAGGTTTTAAGATGGGAACAGCATCCAAGAGGAATGCACAGGGATTATTGACTATGGGTAATTTTTTAATAAAGGTAACACAATGTTAAGAATTGTTAAAGCCTGGTGGTACTACATGGATGTTTATTATTTTCTGTACTTTTTCAATATTTTATTACAAGAAACAATAAAAAAGATATATATGGCATACAGCGATCAACAATGTTAGCTATTATTATTGTTGTTATATAACATTTATGAAGATGTCAGGCCCATAGTATGTATACAAATATTACAGGTGGGGTTAGTGGGCCCCTAAATGGTGTTCCAAGACTCTCCCTATATTGATCTTCAAATGCTGTAAGAATTTTTTCTAAAACACAGATCATACCAAATTCAGCATGTTTAATAGTTAACAGCTTTGAAGCTACCTAGACCTGGGTTTGAATCTTTTAATTTCTCTTATTCTCAGCTTCCCAATTTGTAAAACTTGATCATACTAATACCTACCACTTCGCATGGCCACCCAAAGGACTAAGTGTGAAGCACCAAAGCACAGTATCAGGTTTAGAGTAAGAAAGCATTCAATTGAAGTGCAAAGTGAATACAGATTTACACAAAGGTTAAGAGCAACTCAGCAAAGTTAATATGAAACTTGTGAATCTGAACTCCAATTTAATACTCTTCTTTCACAGGATGTATTTCACTAGGTATTCATATCAGCTATGAGAAGACACATAAAAGCTTCAAGGAAGTCCAATGCCATGCATATATTGCCCTAACATATTAAACCCCTAACACATCTCCAATTTTTATGTCTATTTTTATAAATGTTGCTGATAATCTGCCACTAGGCAAAGACTGAAACCTCAATTACCTTATTTTATCAACAAATACATTAGGTAGTTGTTACCTTATTTTACAAATAAGAAGGCAGGCTCAATGAAGTTAAGTAGCTTCCCCACAGATAAAAACCCAGATCTGCATTACTCCAAAGGTAATGCTCATTCCACCTCATGTGCCTAGCAGGAACACCTCTACAAAGCACTGTTATCTGGATGACTATATTTGCCAGTCTAAAAGATCAATCCAATCAATCTTTCTACCAAAACTAATCCATTTGCAGGTAGAGTACTTACACATTCTGAGGACTGTCTAGTCCTTATGGACTGATCACCCTGTTGCTGGGCTGAACCAGCCACCTGCTGGGCATTTACAAGGTTGCGGACCAGCTGGGCTGCTAAGAGAAGACATCAGAAAGAAAATCAATAGATAAATAACAGAGAAATGATAATCAATAAACTCCCTTCCTCTGTTAAAGAGTCTCAAATCCCTCTGAGATTTTATAAACTTAAAACTATTATTATGTTTGTGAAGGACTTGTAACAACTAATTTTTTTAAAGCTATTTCTCAATCTTGCAAATCACTAAAAAAATGTACTGGTGGTAGAAACAAGAACGAAAAGACAATTACTCCTTTCTAAAGGAGACGACATATTTAAGAAAATACCTTCTGCAACAAGAATCTGAGTAACTGGAAATCACTTCTAAAATACTCTATTTTTTCTTTCATTTAACTGTCATTTGGGTTTCTAATTCTTAAAATTACAGATCTCCCTCTCACATAAGAGCAATGGGAAGAGATATAATTTCTCCTGTATATGTTTCCAGAAAAAGAAATTAACTTTTATTATCTTTTGATAGTGAAAGAATAAAGAAGGTAACTCAAATCGAAAGAATACTTAAAGGGAGTTTACTGAATACAACAGACTGCTAAGACCTTAACAGTGAACATGAATACTGTTCAAAATAAAAGACTATCTAAATTTTCTCTCTTTAAGAAATTATAAGGTTGAAAATCATATTGCTAAGTTTGGAATAGAGAGGAATCAGAGCCCTTAGAATGACATCAACACAAATGACCTTATTTCTACCAAAAACTATTTTTGGCCTTTTCTATTTACCTGCCACACTGCTATTCCTCTGACGGGCCAGCTTGACCTCTGGGCACTCCCTTCGTACATGTCCTGCATCTCCACATATAAAGCATCTGAGGTCTCTGGGGTCTCTAAACTCTCGAGTGTCGTGGAGGTCTCGGGGGTCAACAAGGTCTCGGGAATCTTTCTCCTCTTCATTCCCATCCTTCTCTTCTTCACTGTCTTTCTTCTTTAGTCTAAACAGTAAACTGCTGATACCAATAATGTGGGGCTAGGGACTTGTAAACTGAATGAATCACAGAACAAACTAAACTATACAAAAGTCTCACAATAAAGGTTTTAACATGCCCACTGTATCATGCACCTTTTTTAAGGCAAGGGAACTTCACCTTTAGAGTACACCTACTCATATGGCAGAAACTGGGTATTCCAGTAGTTTTATAATACAACAATAAATTAGAAAAAATTTTTAACATTGAATATTTTAATCTTATAACAATCCTTAGAGGTTGGTATTTATTATCTCCCTTCTACAGAGGGAGAAGCTGATGCTTAGACCAAGTGTCTTCTCTAAATTTAAGTCAGTATATAGCACTGATGGAACCTAGGAGTTAGTTCTGTCTGAAAAGTTCTAAGCTCTTCATATTAGGCAAGACTTAATAACTAAAAAAAGGATTTTCCTGGCCTATGAAAGAGACTATATAAAATACAGGAAAGTTTATTTCATAAATATATTTTCAGGGGTGTGGAGATGTATATTCCTCAAGGTATATATTATATACGTATACCTCACAGTAAATACGTCAAAGATTCAGTTAATTATATTTTAATTACTGATTTGCAGGACTATGAGGTACTCAGCAAGAACCCCATGACTTGGTCATTTTTTTTCTTGGCTCCTGGCAGTCCCCAGTAGAATAGGTGTCAATAAATGCTTCTTCAATTAAAAAAAACAAAACAAAAACTGAATGAATGAATAAGTGAACAAATGAATGATACCAGTGTGCCCCCAAAAAATCTCACTCTATTAACAAAATTCCACTCCGATATACATTTTACCTAATGTCCAATTTAAAGCCCTGAACCTTCTTACTTAAACATATATGAACACAGTTACAGCTACAATAGGCCTCACATTTATTTTCCCTGTAATGTTGATATATAATCATTTGCCAACCTTCTCCTTTTAGGGCAGTCTTTCATGTAGTGGCCTATTTTTCCACACACACGACAACATCGATCATTGGGAGCCAGTTCTCCATCTGTTAATACTCGGGAATCAAAGAAGTACTCCTAGGGAGAAAATAAAACTTTACTAGAAAAAAAAAACCACTATGAATTGTGGAATCCAAATGGAAAGAAGACCAAGATGTAAAAGTGGTTTTACAAAAAGGAAATGGGGCGCCTGGGTGGCTCAGTCGGTTAAGTGTCTGCCTTCAGCTCAGGTCATAATCCCAGGGTCCTGGGATCGAGCCCCGCCATCAGGCCCTCTGCTCAGTGGAGAGCCAGCTTCTCTCTCTCCCTCTGCTGCTCCCCCTGCTTGTGCGCCCTCTCTCTGTGTCAAATAAATTTTAAAAATCTTAAAAAAAAAAAAATTATCATCACTGGGGCCCCTGGATGGCTCAGATGGTTGAGGTTCCAGCTCTTGATTTCAGCTTAGGTCATGATCTCAGGGGTCGTGGGATCCAGACTCCAGTCGGGCTCCGCACTCAGCAGGCAGTCTGCTTCTCTCCTCCCTCTCCCTCCACTCCTCCCCCTGCTCTCTCTCTCTCTCTCAAATAAATAAAGGGGGAAAAAAAAGAACCATCATTATCAATATCACAGTTGCTAACAGTGCTAACCACTTTACATCCACATTATTTCTTCATTCATCTGTGGCATCTTTGCATAATAACTCAATAGATACTATTTTCATCCTCATTTATAGATGAGGAAATAGAGGCTCAGAGAGTTCGAGTCATTTGCCCATAGTAAAAAAGCTGGTTAAGTAAGCAGGATTTAACGCTAAGTTGGTCTGACTACAAATCTCATGCCTTCTGCCTTACCAGGCTATTTCTAGAAAAGAATTATTCTCTTTACAAAAGAGCTCTCTGCCAATAAAGCAATCCTCTGGTTTATTTAAAATATGATTGGATTTGCATATAACATTTCAAGAACATATAACATTTATTATATAAAGCAGGGTATAGCTAAAGAGTAGGTAGAGAACCAATACAAAGTAAATCATTTTCCCAGGTTTTAGAAGTACCAGGATCGGGCGCCTGGGTGGCTCAGTTGATTAAGCAACTGCCTTCGGCTCAGGTCATGATCCTGGAGTCCCGGGATCAAGTCCCGCATCAGGCTCCCTGCTCAGTGGGGAGTCTGCTCCTCCCTCTGACCCTCCCCCCTCTCATGCTCTCTCTCTCTCTCATTCTCTCTCTCAAATAAATAAAATCTTTAAAAAAAGAAGTACCAGGATCATTTTTCCTTTATCCTACCACCTAGCGTATTCTTCTAAGCTTTAGCTCAGTTTTGTTTTGCACTATTACAAAGACTAGTTTGTCGTAACAGTACCCACATTTCTGGAAGGCAAGAGAACATGTCCACTTAGCACTCTTCAAATCTATCTAAAGTCAAAGATAAAAGTATAAGAGATACACCTACTAGGATGGCTGTCATAAAAAGAGAAAGGATGTAGAGTGCCTGGGTGGCTCAGTTGGTTAAGTGACTGCCTTCGGCTCAGGTCATGATCCTGGAGTCCCTGGATCGAGTCCCGCATCAGGCTCCCTGCTCAGCAGGGAGTCTGCTTCTCCCTCTGACCCTCCCCCCTCTCATGTGTTCTCTCTCTCATTCTCTCTCTCTTTCAAATAAATAAATAAAATCTTAAAAAAAAAAAAAAGAGAAAGAATGTAGATGAAATGGAACAGTTTGGCAGGACCTCAGAAAGTTAAACATAAATTTGTCAAAATGAACCGGCAATTGTTAGGTTTGTCAATACCCAAAAGAAATGAAAACACATCCAAAAAAAATTTGTGCAGAAATATTCACAGCAGCATTAGTCATAAGAATGAAAAAGTAGAAACAACTCAAATGTCCAACAAAGGTGATGAATAAATAAAATATGATATATTCCATTTAATGGAATACTGTTCAACCATAAAAGGAATGAAGTGGTGATACATGCTACAACATGAACAAACCCTGAGAACATTAGGCCAAATGAAAGCAGCCGATCACAAAAGGCTACATATTTTATGATTCCATTATATGAAATGTCCACATAGGCAAACCTACAGAAACAAAAAACAGATCAATGGTTTGAAGAGTGGGAGAGAAAAGGAATGGGGAATGACTGCTAATGGGCCCAGTTTCCTTCAGAGAGAAACAAAATGTTCTAAATTAGATTGTGGTGATGGCTGCAGAATCCTGTGAATATACTGTAAACCAGTGAATGAACTGCTCACTGTATATTAGTGAATTTTATTCAATGTAAGTTATATCAATAAAGCTGCATTGTTAAAAAAAGATGAAAGATGTAATTCTTCACATTCATTATTGAAGAAACCAATATAGCTAATTAAAATCCTCATCATCATATTTTCTGCCAAGGCAAAACAAAAGCCTTTGTCAACCTAGGAATCATCCTGAACTTGCTCTCCTTCACCCATCGCCTCTAATTAATCACAAGTTATATCCATTTTCTTCCTGAATCTCTCTTTAATCTACTTTTCTCCATTCTATCATCCCAGTTAAGGTGGCCTAGACCTGAGGGCCAGCAAACTTTTCCTGCAAAGGGCCAGAGAGTAAATATTTTAGGTTGTGACAAAATTGAAGACATTATGTAGTACTTACATAATAAGAGAAAGCAAATTTCCACCAAATTTTTATTGAAGAATTTCAAAATATACTACTAATAATAATTGAGTATAATTTTTTTGTAATGTAAGTTTACTAAATAGAAGAAAGAAATTCTTTTTTTAAGATTTTATTTATTTATTTGACAGAGTGAGAGAGCACAAGCAGGGGGAGCAGCAGAGGGAGAGGGAGAAGCAGACTGCCCAATGAGCAGGGAGCCCAATGCGGGGCTCAATCCCAGGACCCTGGGATCATGACCCAAGCCAAAGGCAGACACTTAACTGACTGACCACCCAGGTGCCCAAGAAGAAAGGAATTCTTTCTGGGAGAGACATTTCACTTAACTGAGGTTCAAAATTAGTGTTCCCTATCATTAAAATCAATAGAAAATGTTCATCTGTTAATGCTAATCTGCCCTTACATTTTATATATTTTATCTTTGAAAATGTTTTTCACAGATGAAAAGATTGAAGATTCAAGGTAAAGAATTAGACCTAGAGTGCAAATGAAGGACTAGTCTCTGATAAAGAAAATGTATCTGTAGATGCAGGCAGATTTATAGATTTACAGAAAGTTGAAAGAATACCTGATACTATCTTTGTATCATAGGGAAAACCTCTAAGAGTGAGAAGGGCAGAGGTGAAAGGTGGGACACAAAGTGCAACAGGTATTGAATTTTGAGTACAATAAAATCTGAATTAGTTCTTATCAAATAGGATATAAAGGTAAGTAAAGAAACGTATTAAGAATGTCAGATGGTACTGAAAGTCTAATTTAGGCTGGTAAACACTATAGTTGTATTATATAAATAAAACCACCTAGCTTTAGGACTTTTTTTCTTAGTGCTTAGCTGCCAAAGCATAGACAGATGGCAGCTAAGGTGAATTCATGTAAGGTTGAACACATAAGGGTGCAAGAGAAGGACAATGGTACCAAGGAATTTAAAGTATATGCCAGAGAGCACACCAGGAAATCTAAGTTAAATGGGAAGAAAAATGAAGACAGAAGATAGCTGACAGAATGAGAGAATAAGGGTCAATATAGTAGAGGACCTAATGATGTAGAAGAATAGTTGAAGAGGGAATATGTGAGTAAGCAAAAAAGATGAATAAATAGAAAATATACTTGTCTTCATTTTCATTAGTGTAGGAATGAAACACATCTATTTTGTATGCCCACAAGCCTAGTTAGTACATAGCAGAGAAATCAGTACTAAGTAGGAATTCAGGGATGCCTAAGTGGCTCAGTCAGTTAAGCATCTGCATTCGGCTCAGGTCATGATCCCAAGGTCCTGGGATCAAGCCCCGCATTGGGCTCTCTGCTCAGCAAGGAGTCTGCTTCTCCCTCTGCCTGCCACTCCCTCTGCTTGTGCTCACTCTCTCTCTGACAAATCTAAAAATAAACAAAAAAATTTAAAAAAAACAAAGAAGGAATTCAATAAATATGTGTTGAAAGAATATATTTTACTATGGTAATTATAAGCATGAAAGACTTTAAAGGATACTTTCTACAATATCAGCTGTAACACTGATATAATAAAAACAATCTAAATGTCCATCAAAGAAGAACAGTTAAACTAGTATAAACAAGCCACAGAATACTATATATTGACTTTTAAAACAGAAAAAAATAGATCAAAAAATGGTTAGCAGACTCATAGGCCCCTTCAGATAGGCCTCAAACTGATGTTTGGTTGATATGCAAGACCAAAGACTGATATCTATTAGTCAATTATATTATTATACTGAGTTATTAAGAGTTACTAAAATTTTGTATTCATAGACTAAAATTAGCACATTTGCAGTTTACTAAGGATTCTAATATTCTACTAAAAAGTCTGACAACATGAAACTGGTAGGTTCCTATAGAACAAATGCACATATACACATTAATAGTTGGAATTCCCACAATTTTCAGGTAAAATGTTTTATCAGTGCATCATCAGATTTGTTTTGATCTGACTATGCTCTCTTCATTTATTTTTTAATTAGTATGTTAGTAAAATCATTGTTGGATTTTCCTTTTGTTTGACATTTTGTTCTTACACAACTTCTGTGTCATTTCAAATTTTACTGTTATTTTATTTCTCTCCAATATAATCACCCCCCACCCCCAAAGAGGCAGGACAATAAAAAAGGTCAAGAATCAGTGCTACAAGGGAAAAAAGCTGTAGATTTTTCTGCTTTTCTTACCCTACATCCCAAAGAAAAAGTGTGGAAACTGTACTGAACAAGATCAAGGATATTTGTTATGCAATAGTAGAGACACAGTTTCTCTCTTGAGATTGCTTCTCTTGGAAGTTTCTTTCTCTGTGAAATTTAGACCTCCTCCCATTAGAAAGCAAGCAAAAAAGAGAGTGAGACCAAGAGGAATGGGAAATACTATGCCACCCAGTTCAGGCAAAAGGAATCCTCTCAGCTCCATGCCATCACATTCAGTTACCAGAGCTACACCAAAATTAGAGCAGAAGCCTCAGCAAGTAAGAAAGTATTTCTCTGGTGTCGTCCTCTCTTTATAATTTCATCAAGATTTCTAGGGATGAAGAGGGGCAGTGGGCAGCACCTCAAATTCAAAATTTAAGGATACTGACTCTTGACTAACTTCATTCATTCAACAAATGCTTATGTGGTACATCCAATGTGCCATCTTAATAGGTACTGGAGATATGATGGTGAAGAGACATAATAGACCCTTGTCCTCATGGAGCTATAGTCTAATGGGGGAAGACAGAATTAAACAAACAGATACACAAAATTTAGCAAATAGATACCTCATTATGAACTATGATAAGTGCAATAAAAAAAAATACAGGGAGTGTATAATCATCTCTTTCTCCTATTTCTAATACCAACTTGGAAATAGGATAAGGCTTCCTATACCACAAAAAAAGGAGTTCTATATGAAAAAAGATTCAGAATCCAAATTATGTAAACTTACAGCTTCTCTGCCAATGAGTGGATAAAAGGGGGTACCAAAAAGTTTCCTTCCATTGATAAATGCCTTCATGATAAAATTGGTCACTATTGAAAAAAGAAGAAAAAATAAAGATGCAGACCTTAATGTGTAAAAGCTTTAAAAACAGGGGATTTCTATATTTAAAACTTACTTTTTCTAGAAACTCCAGCACCAAGGTTATGATTCAAGTCAAAAGGATCTAGAAAAGAAATATTTATTTTTTGATTTAAAATTCTGTTCACTGTAACAAAATATACATACAAGCCATAACTAGAGAGTAATACTATATAACTCAGACTATTTAAGTCAGCAAATTATTCTTCTAAAATTATAGATTAAAAATGATAGAAATTGGGGGGGAGGGAAAAAATAATAAAAGGACAGAAACATAAAAATCAAGATGAAGAATCTTCCAAATTCTAATGTGCTTTCGGTTTTCCCTTCAATTTCCTTCCCAAATGAAACTGGCTTTTTGTTTTATTTTGTTCCTCAGCTAATGAGTAACGTCATTAGTAATGTCAGCTAATGATTACCTTCAATTGCAATGCATTTGGATGTCCACTGCTTCTCAAAAGTTGTCAACAGCTTTTTCTGCCGAATGCTAATTACATATTCCTTGAAATCAAACTCTTCAGTATAGAAGCGAAGCAGTCCCAACCAAAGCTCTCCTAATGTTTCTGTGTTCTTTCCAAGTGAAGGTAAACGTTTTTTCTATAGGTAAGAAAAAAGAAAGAGAGAAAGGTCTATACTTACTCAAAATATGGAACCCAAATATAAGTAAAATTATTAAATTATGCAAATCCTAACACATATCAGTGAGCATTCTATAACATAAAGACTATGAAAAAATTACCAGTTCTTCTGTTTTATCAAAGAAAAATGCATTCCATCCATCAACCATTCTCTGTGGAATCTGTTTTCCATCAAAGATCTGTAAAAACAATTTTATTATTAGATTTTAAGTCCTCTTATGCAAACGCCTAAGTATCCTTATATCATTTTAGAATGTACCTATAAGAGATATTGAGATACTTCTTTCCAAAAGGAACATGTCAGGATAGTCTAATTTGATGCCAAGATATTAATGAATAAAATGTATCTGGAAGATCAAAGCTGGGAAAGGATATCTTAAGAGCTTGAGACTCTCCAAATGACACATTTGATGTTATCTATTTGGCCTGTCAAAACGCATCCAGCCCAAGACTAATGAAGTAAAACTAAAGGAAGAAAAAAAAAAAAACCAATGAAAACCACATTTTTATCAATGGATCATAGATGTAGAAATACATAATACCTATTGATTTGTATACCCAAAGGAAATCAATGGAACCGCTTGTTTTGGGGACGGGCTCTAGTACTTTTTTTTTTTTTTAAAGATTTTTTTTTTT